AAGGATAGTACATAATCAAAGAACCGCCTCATGTCGCTATGAGAATACCAGAAGAACCGTTCAATCACGATTCTGGAATGGCACTTAGGTTCGTGGTACCTCCACAATATCCGGGGGTACGTAATCTCAACATCATATATGTCTATGAGGGCTCACACCATTTGTAGAGAATAGTTGACTGTAAAATACCTGAGTGGCTATAAGTGGCAGTCGGATTAATTTAGACATCTGGTTGGCCAATTTCGAGAAATTTACCGATGAGAGAGGTGTTTTTGGGAGAATTGAGGACATAAATGCCACTTTACAAATAAAGCGAAGGAACAGAAGAACTTGACAGACCTGAAGGTCAAGGGCAAAAGGTTGGGAAGTGGTTTATTCAATGACATATTTATATTAACACACTTTTTTGGATATTAATACGAGGAGAAGCTGATAATGTCATGACATCGTGCCTGCATCCATTTCGCTGCAGGGCTACAACTTTCGACAGGAGCTGCATGGTAAGTGGAAGTATGGGAACGCTTAATTTTGACCTTCTAGCACCATAAACCTTGGTATAACGTATTTTTGTCACTTCTCGTCTCAGAGTCTTGAACAGTATGTTCACTTCTGAAGTTCTTTCATGTCCATTTGGTTTGGTTACTGGATCAACCTCCTAGGGAACCGAGAATATATTGGTCGGTTTGTACTACTGTAGGATCTATTTGACGACAAAATCTCCTCTATAGAATCAAAGGGACAAGGCCGGTCGACTTCATTCAATGATAGTAGTCATGTTGATGACTCCAAGAGTTGGTAACTGGCCATACAGTCTCTAAAGGTAGAACCGGTTGTCATTTTTTCCCAACAGAGTGCCAAAATCACATCTTGACTTTGGTAACTATAGGGTTCCTTGGCCGTTATGTGTGTGTCTGGTCGAGAGGGGACACTATTCAAAACTGCAATGAATCCAGCCTCCGACAGCTCTACCTCATTAGTCATGCCCCGGTTCAACGTATGCTAAAACATATTGCATAATGTCACACCCATGATGACAAAAGGGTGTACGTAATAAGACTTACCCGTAGCAAATACCGTTTAGGCTTGGGAGTGGGTTGAGAACCCCTCATCGTCTTTAGGAACGCTCAAGCCTTTTCTTCCAAAATTTCGAGTCCATAGAACTCTGCCTCCAGAATCAAGTTTTCTATCGTCGTTTCTTTCGTCATGTAGGGAGGCACGATAGAGTCCGGGATGGGAAAAATGGTGTATCCTCTCAAATGGGCTTGTATAAGTGTGAATAACTTTGGTTCCTTAGAAATGTGTAGTTCCTGGACTCCATCTGTCGCTTCAGCAAAATCGCCCAAAAAATACGTTGCGAGGTAGTTGCCGGGATCAGATTCCAATTGATCCTTGGTCAATTTGAAGCACTCTCCACTGACAATAAGTGCATAGATGTCCTGGGACATGATGTTATGTCAGCTTTGACTATGGTGGAAGGGTGGCAAGTCGAACGACTAATCCGTCGAGAGCCTGCAACTGGCTCGACGAAGTCTAAATTTATGACTGGTACTATGACGTACGACTGCTTTAGTGCAATACAAAGTATATAAATGGATTCATCTAATGTTTATTTGTATACATCCAAAGGAGGGAAATTCTTGTCTACAAAAGCCATGCGCACGTTATTTACGGTCCACATAGGGGGGTATACCGCTTCGTTGCCTCGTCATCGCATCGTTGTTTGTCTATGTTGTAATTCTAGAACATTTATTCGAGCATAGCTCGTAAGTTTGGGGTATCGTTTTGGGATGAGAGTGCTTTTCAGTTGTTCTGGAAGGGTTACTCTGACTCGAGGAGTGCACAGATGCACAAGCGGGGCAAGCCCATGGAACTTGCACTATCTTCGTCGTTCTGGACATCCCTCCAGCAGGCTACCAGACTATATCCGGGGCAATTGAGACTGGTAGGAGCGAGCAGCTGGAACGAGGGGGAGGAAAGAAACCGTTGGAGAAGCGCGTTGAAGCCACTTTCCGAGAGATCGCAATGGGCCCATCCAGACTGCTTATATTGCTGTAATGAGAGGTTGTTGTCAGCACAAACTCTTATAGTCATGGGAGTATAAGGATGCTTACCGCCAGTTTATACCGCTTCTTTGAGACGCGGTGCACGGATTTGGTTCTCTCTTTGTTGGCCTTTTCTGTTGCTTGGAACTCCAAGATTTTGTTTTGCAGATTCCAGAGGCCGTAAAACTGAGCCTCCTTGAAGAGGTTGTTCAGCGCGCTCTCCTTCGTCATGTAGCTAGGAATCCAGGGGTCTGGCAGCGGAAAGATATCGTAGCCTCTGAGATGGGCTTGGATCAGCTTGAAGAAGAGAGGCTCCTTTTCAATCTCCATCTCTCGGGTTCCCTTTGGGACCTCTTTGAACCCCAAGAGGAAGTATTGAGCAAAGTAATTGCCTGGATCCGACTCTAGTTGGTCTCTAGTAAAGACGAAGCGCTCTTCATTGACGATAATGGTATATTTCTCGATCGGCATGGCGGCTCTGTAGCACAAGGGAAGTAGGTGATCGGTAAAGGCAAGCTCAGTGCGAGCCTTCGTAGGGAATCTCGTATCGTAAGGAGCGTGGAAACTTGTTCTTTGAGGTAAAGGAGTGACGGTCGTTGGAGGATTTGAGGACTGGGTCCTGCTGGGTATGAGGTCGTGGTTGGGGTCCAAGTGATGGAAAAAAAGAGCGTAAATTTTCAGAGAAAGGGGGTTCCAAACGACTGAATAGTGCATTTAGTCGATGTATATTGCACTAGCTCGCCATCGCAAGACCCTTGGTTGGAAACGCCTGCGACCGGCCGTTCGGAATGAGCCTTGCGCCGCCATCCGCTATGCAGAACCGGCTTGTCCAGCACTTTCCCAACAATCAAAGGATACGATACCGGTTTAGTTGATGATGAAAGCACTAAATCGCAACATAGTTGATGTTCAATCGAGGGAAATTCTTGTATCGTCTAGATCGAAGTGGCAATAGAGTCAGCTAAAAGAAGACACAAATTGTGCGAAAGGGTACGAATTGAGAGATCCATGATATACCAGCTTGACTTAGTACAGCGCAGAGGTAATTCTCTGGTATTTTACATGCGTAAGGTGTTCGTGTGGAGGTGGTTGGAACCAACAGCGTAGAGCTATCCGCCCCTACTGGCTCCTTCACCCTTGTACACCTGAACCGTCGTTTGGCTCTCTGTTCCGAGTCATCATGACTCAAGAGAGAGCACATATTCATCATCTATTCCCTCATGACATCTTTTCCGGGTGCACACCGCCACGGGCTGTGAGGACTCAACCCCTGTGCTGTCTAATTCTGCCGATAACAGCAGACCTAACCCATCTCATCTTCAGGTTTGCTGAATAATAGTCCTTATATGGTCATTCTATACTCTCTCAAGTCAAAACTTCGATGGAGATTGAAAAGGAGCCTCTCTTCTTCAAGCTGATCCAAGCCCATCTCAG